CATTATCCCTGGTGCCCTTCTTCCTCCTCAGCCCCCTTCAGTTTTAACCTATCACCTACACTGAATGCAGAAACTCAAGTAATATTTGTGTAGTATCTGTATTCTTGTCTATTTGCCTGTCATCAGAGAATGACCACCACTGGTTTTGTGATCTGGGAAGGCTTGAGGCAGAAAGAAAGATGACTAGTACATTCCAGAATTAGCCCACTGCTTCTACTGTGACTCGTAACACTTAACGTTTGCTGAAACAGGAAGTAGGCTATGTTTCTAGCCCTTAGTTAATGCTAATGTGCTTGTGTATTAGGTAAAGAAAAGGTTATGCTGCTGTAGCAATGAGACCCCAAAATAGGATGGGACATTCATCTCTCTTATGTAACATCTCAGCCGGTCCAGGCTGCAAGGGCTTTTCTGCTCCACAGGGCCATTCAGGGGTCCAGGCTTCTTCAGCCTGTGGCTCTGTGCCTCCCCTTCCTGCCCCCCACCTCAGGATATTGGCCTCATGGCATAATTGAAGTGGAATGGCGTTACATTGCATCCAAGTGTGAAGGGGACACTGTACACGTCACTGTACATGTCCTGTTAAGAACATAGGAGACACTGTACACGTTACTTCTCAAATTCCAGGGGGCGGGAATTTGGTCCTGTGGTTCCCCTTGGCTGAAAGGGCGACTGGAAAATGTCATCCATACCTTAGTGGCCACGTGGGTAGAGGAGAGGAGAGGTTTTAGGGAGACAGGCAGTCCCCCTATTTGTATTGCCCTTGCAGCCTCTGCCAACACTCCCTTGTGGCATTCATTAGCTCTGGTTAGGAAGAGGGGCCTCCACACAGGCACCTTTCCCAGATTTCAGTGAGGGAAAGAAGTCAGTCCAGTGATAGCCTCACAGCTACTCTTCCTCCTGTGCCTGGACCTTAGCGGCCTCCATCCTCATCCAGAATATTTGCACTTTTCCTCCCCTCTCCTGAAGATTGGCCTAAACTCCTGAGGCAGTCAGCTGACAGCCTCCCACCTCTACCTTGGCCTCCAGCCCCCAGCCCCCAGCCCTGGTTTTACACTCGCCCACAGTGGCTCTAGGTGTTTACCAGACTCCACAGCTGAGTCAGAAATAGCTGGGCCGCACCTGCCGCTGTTGCTGGGCTATACACCCACTGCTTCCAGCTCAGGCCTCCTTGGGGTGCTTGCAGGTGCTCTGCATTCGAGCCTTAGCATCTGCCCAGCAGTCAGGATCAGAGCAGCCACTATGGACACTGCTGCTCAGGGTCACTCTGCCCAGGCCAGCAGGGAGCATGTGGAGTGCGGGCCTTCAGACTTCAAGCCTTCTTGCCCTGGGATGCTCTTTGGTAACTGGCCCCTGGGGTAGGATCTGGAACCCAGGAGCCTTGGCCTCTCAGCTCAGGTGCTGTGGCCAGGCCTTGGCCTTGGCGTTCTGAATGCAGCTGGGTCTGGCCCTGACCGCCACTGCTTGTCTGGGCCTCAGTGTTCTTCCGGCCCCACCCAGGACCCTGTGGCTGCGTATCTACCTCTGCCTTCCCTGCTGTCCTCTCTCAGAGATAGATTAGCATCGGCCCTACAGGTGTATCACTTCTGTGTAAAGGCCTAGCTTCCAGTCCTGCCTCTGCCCCTTCCTAACTGTGTGGCTGGGACCATCACTCAGCCTCTGTGAGCTCAGCTGCCTAATCCCAAGACTGATAGATATGTCTCAAAAACCAGTGAATCAGTTTTTGTTAAGAGCTCACTGTGCTTAAGAAAGACACATGCCACATGACTAAATGTCCATCACCAAGGCAGTATGACCCTGTCAGAGACAGAATTTGGTACAGATCAGGAGAGGTGCGTGATAGTGAGCCAGTGGACAGGCACCTGCAGCAGAGAAGCTGTTTCAGGCTAAGGCCTTCAGAGAAGGAGAGAGATAGACAGGGAGGGACCAGGGAAAATCTGTTTACCTCCAGTGCACATGGCTTCTGGAATCACCAGACATAGATGTTGAGCACAGGAAGGAGTCTGGGAACCACACAGTTCCTCATTTTTATTTTGTAGATGACAAAAAGGCAGGGGAGCAGGTGTTGTCTGTGTCCTCACTGTGTCTGTCCTGCAGAAGCATCAGCCTTTGGAGGGCGGTGATATCCCCATTTTATGGACAGAACAACAAGTCTCTGAGAGCCCAGGTATGGTCTCCTAGAATCCAAGAGTACTATGGCAGGGGATTGAGAGCCAGACCTCCCAGTCTTTGAGGGCAGCCTGCTCGTGGGGGCGTGTGGTTAGCATGTGACAAAGGGTGTGTGGCAGGGGCATAGCAGTACAGGTGGGGGGGGATAGGAGTACTCTGCCTCCTTGAGCACAGCCCCTTTGTGCTGTGTTACCATATCCCCTAGCAGAGGCCAGGAGAGCAGACTTCATCTCCCTGCTTCTCAGGACCCTGCGCAGCCATCAAGGGCAGGAGTTGTGTCCAATTGGCCTGGACGATGCCCTGGCTGCACTTCTGCCCTCCAGGCATCCTACAGGTGGCAGAAGGGCACACAGGCATGTCCTCCCTGTACCTCAGTTTCCTCACCGGTAGGGGGGTACGGGGAGCTGGTCCACTCCAAGCGCCCTGCCAGCTCTGCCCACATGAAATTCTGCCATTGTCCCTCAGTTCAGCCTCGGCCCATCGCCCTCATGTGCCGTGTGGTGTGAGCCACAGGGGCTGCATGAGGCCCTGCTGAGCAGACACCCATGGAAAAGAGGACTGTGGTGTCACTTCCAATGTTGGGGGAACCTGGAACCTTCAGTGAAGGCTTCTGGAGGAGACCTTGGTGGGTTCTTAAGGAAGGAGCATCTGTCAGGGGAGAGAGCAGGGTGACATAGGAGGTGGGGAGGATGGAAGAAGGGTCTGTCAGTCCAGAAAGAAATGACAGGTGAGGACTGGCCCCACACCAGGACTTTCTGAGCACCAGCCCAGGGCAGCTACTGTCTTTAAAGACTACACTGTCTTTAAGGCAGTTAGGTGTTTGGGAGTCAGGGCCCTCTCGAGTTCCTTAGGCCCATTTGCCCAGGTCACAGAATGTCAGTCTTCTCGTGTCATCAGAGGTAGACCATGGGATGAGGCTTGGAGCTGATTTTGCCCACCAGGAGGACAGGATTGGCCACAGCAGGCAGGGGCTGTGTGGGTGAACTCACAGCAGAGTGAGAGTGGGGCTTGAGACGTGGGCAGAGTGCTGCGGGCACATTGGAGGGGTCTCACAGGAACGTGTCAGAGCTACCTGGTAATTTCCCTGCCCTTGTGGGAGGAGAGTGTTGAAGGGCCTCATCCTACACAGGCTCCTTGGGGCTCGCTCTCACCCTGCTGGGGAGGAAGCTGGGTCTGAAGGGCGTCAGCCTGCCCGGCGTGGTGGGCTGACCCTGACCAGGTGGAGCACCTGCCTGGCTATGGTCTTATGTGGTTCTGCCTCGTGCTTATACAGCCTGTGTGCTCCTCTCTTAGCTCTTACTTGGCAGGGTGTTGCCATTCAATGGTCACCATCATCATCAACATTACTGGTGGCATGACCTTGGGCAGATCATGTAGCCTTGGGCTGCTCCTCAGTTTCCTCATTGTAAACAAGGGGAGTAATGCCTGTGCCCGTGTGCTCCTGCTGGACGGCTTGGCTTAGAGCCTCCATACTGTTGGCACAGCTTGTCTCCCTATCATCCTTGCTGTCTTCACTGTTGTAACTTCTTCCCTGGCTGTGACCATGCTATGGCAGGGCCTAAGTGACATCATCTTGGTGGCCCCAAAACCGCTGAGGGTGAGTTCCAGGTGGTGGGATATTACTCCCCAGGCCAGAGGCAGTGAGCTGAGCTTGAGCTGCCTTAGAACTTCACCTGTATGTCCTCTTGCTCAGCATGGCATTTCTGAAATGCACTGCATTGTATGCACCAAGCTATCCCTTTCCCAGCATCTCCTAGACATCGATACTCTTTCTGGGTCTTGGCTATTAAGCATAAAGCTGCTGTGAACATTCTCACATGGGTTTCTAGTGGCTGTGTGTTTTGTTCCTCTTTGTAAATACCCAGGTGACCTGCTGGCCGTAACGAGGCAGGTGGTCAGTGTTTTCAGGCCTGCAGACCTCTCATACAGTGGCCGCATCATTTATGCTCACTGCAGCAGTGTGTAAGTGTTCCATCCACTGTGCCCTCTCCAGGACCCTCTGTTCCCACAGCATTCTGTATTGCTTTTAAAAATTGAGAACAAATCCACATAACATGAAATTCACCCCCTTAACCATCTTAAAGTGAACAGTTTAGTGTTTTTTTTTAAATTTTAGTATATTCATAGTGCTGAATAATCATCACCACCTTCTAATTCCAAAACATTTCTATCACCCCAAATAGAAACCCCATACCCAGCGGCATGCTACCTCTATGCTACCTGGCAACCCCTCCTTTGCCTTCTGTCTCTATGATTTGTCTATTCTGGACATTGTATATAAATGGAATCATACAGTCTGTGGCCTTTTATGACTGATTTCTTTCACTTAACATGATGTGTTCGAGGTTCATCCACATGGTAGCATGAATCAACATTTCTGTCCTTTTGATCACTGAGCAATTTTCCATTGTGTGGATGACCACATTGTGTTTATTGCTTCATCCCTTGATAGCCATATTTCGACTCTCATGAATAATGCTGCTCTGAGTGTTCCCGTGCAGGTTTTGTGTGGATGTACATTCTCATTTCTCTTGGCATGTGTGCCCAGCCAGGAACGGAATTGCTGAGGGTGCTGGGGCATGTGGAGCTCAGTGTGTAGCCTTTTTGAGGGACCTCCCTTCTTTGCCTTCCTCTCGCTGTGAGGGCAGGTGTGGGTGTCCAGCCCTGATTCACTGCCTTACCCCAAGGAGGCTGAGCTGGGAAGGGAGAGAATAGAGCTCAGGCCATACTGCTGCCTCTTGGGTCTTTGCCTCTGGGGACTGCCCAGAGTGGTCAGGAGCCAGTACCACAGGCTGCATCTGCAGCTTGTGTTCTCTCATCCTTGCTTCTTCCAGCCACCCAGGTCGACCCTCATGACCTCCAGGAGCTGGTCCAGGAGACATCGGCCAATGTCTTCCGAATCAACTCCAGCGGTGAGTCTGCATCTGACCCAGGCCTACCCTTTTCCTCCTGTTGCTTCAGGCCTTTGAGGTAACATCAGTGGTAGGTGTGGGCACATGGCCTTCCCCTCCCCCTGCGCCATCCTGCTGTCCAGTCCCAGATTTCTTGGACTGAAGGGAGTGAGGGCTGGGTCAGGGCCCAAGAGTGCTGTTCCCACCTGCCACCTCTGCCCATTGCTCTCGCCTACTTCTTCCTGCCCAGTAGGAGTCAGCCCTGGGCCTCTCCCAATCTCCACTCCACTCCTCCCTGGCTCCCTCTGTGTGCTCTGGAGGAGTCCCTGTGGAAGAGAGAGTGTGTCCCAGTTTCCCTCAAACTGGCAGGCTAGAGATCACCTAGGCTGGGGTCAGGAGTAAGAGCCACACCCCAGATGCCCAGGGGAGGGGTGGGGGCAAGGAGAGTAGAGGAGAGAAGCTCCCTCAGATTCAGAGTAAGGCCTGCAGGAGGTGGCTCCTGAGAACCCCTTGGGCTACACTTGGCTCTGGGGACCTGGCTCAAGACAGTTGGGGAGCTGTCCTGGCCAGGATGGCCTTTCACGGGGGATAGGGCAGGCCTAGGCCTCCAGGCCTCTTAGGTGGTCTGCTCTGTCCCTGGCCCCAGTCCTCAGGTCTTCCCCACCCTACCTCTGCCACCCATATAAGGTCACAGTGGCAGGGAAATTCCTGCTTCTCATACCTGTTTCTCCTCTCTCGGTCAGTGACCTCCTTGGAGCGGAGCCTCCGGTCTCTGGGAACACCGAGTGACACACAGGAGCTTCGGGACAGCCTGTGAGTATATGGTTGCCAAGTCTTCCTGCCTGGGTACCGTGTCATGCGGGTGTGTGGGGGGTGGGAAGGTGGTCCTGCACACACTCACACACTGGGTCTATCTACACAGCACTCACTGACAGCTGCCCTCACACACACACACACACACACACACACACACACACCTGCAGATGAGCCCAGTCAGAGCTCGGAACCTAAGACTGGGTTCTCATCCCTGAGGGTTACCACTAAATAGGGCACACAGGTGCACCCTGCACCCATGTAGAAGCCCAGGTGTGCCTGTGGAGACCCTAGGGAGAGACACACGTGTGTGCTCAAGTGGTGGGGTGCATGCCTGCTTGCAAACACTTTGCCCTGCCAACATACCCCAAACATGTCTCTGCCAACTCCAGGGCTCCCCAGTGAGGCCTGAACACCTGTGGATGCAAGATGTGACACAGATGTACCATTTGCTCAACCATAGGCTAGGTTGGAACAGGGCTTTCTGTTCTTGCTTCTGTCCCTGTGAGGAACTGGGCCTTGGTGGGGGTCCCACTGGGCTTGCCTGAGGGTCGCCCAGTGGCCTCCTGGGGTTGGACTGGTCTGGGATGAGGGGAGTGCCTCAGGTGCTGTCTGCTGAACCAGACCCCTGACTGGGCTGGGGAGGAGGAAAGGGTCTCTGCCTGGGAGTGAGTAGCTGGCCCCAGTATGTCAGCATTCTGAAGAGACATTGGCAGTCATGTCCCTTTGTCCTCCCAGTCAGACCCCGCTGCATTTGCTGCCTCAGCCAGCCCAAGTTCTCTTCCTTCAGTGACATGGGATGCCTTCAGTCCCAAGGACCCCCACCAGCCCTAGGCCCACCAAGTTGAGATATGTGGTCCTTAGATCCACCCTCTGCCACCTGCCCTGTGCCCTGCTGGGCAGGGTTGGTGGCTACCCCAGCCTCATGCCCTGAAGGAAGGGGCCAGAGCTGAGGAGGAGAGGGTTGAGAAGGCTGAGAGCACTGCAGCTCCCATGGGGGCACTGGGGTCTCTTCCTCCTCACAGCAGCTCTACGAGCTGAGCTGCCCTGCTGCGGAGCTGTTCTCCAGGTGCTGGATGCCCTTTGCAGGTGTTGTGTGCAGTGCTAGCCTTAGGTTTTTTAAAAAGTGTATTGTTTTCTGATATGAGAGTAACGTATGCACATTATAGGGAATCTGGACACACAGGGTGCCTGAGAAGCCACTGTTAGCATTTGGTGTACCAGGCCAGCCTTTTCTCAAATCTGTGCACGTTCCACAGCGTCAGATTTCAGGATGCTCTGGATCTTGCTCATTACACTTGGGCTACGTGGCGTACGTGCCCTCATTAGACACTCCTTGAAAACATGTACTTTGGAGGCACAGAGGATGCTGCTGAGTGCACATAATTTATGTAATGGAGACTCTGGGCTGGGCCTTTTGGAGTTCCCAGTGACGTTGTTGTGTTAAAATCTTCCTATCACTGCCTATTTCCTGGGTTAGGTCATCCGAGGATCATGTTGGGTGGGCATTTTCAGGACCCTGGTCCTCGTGCGATGTACTGGGCTGCCTGGCCTTGTTACCTGAGCAGCATCACCCATTGTGGGCCCCAAAGAGGAGAGGACACTCCTGGTGTGGAGTAGGGACACCTGCCCCGACATAGGGCCTAACCCACAGTGACCGCAGCTTGCTTTCCTCCCCCCAGGTCAACCTCTACTTTCAGATCCAGAAACTCTCATCTTAGCACTTTCCTGTCCCTCCCTTTGTGCCTGGCTCCTAACCAGGCCTTGCCTGCTTGTCATGGCTTTCCAGAGCCTTCCATGACCCCTTTGATGTATGCATATCATGGACTATTAGCATTTTAAAAATAACTTTTGAGACTGCCGGAGGGTTGCCAACTTTGTATTTTTTTCTCTACATTGACAGAGCTGCCAACTTTTTTCTTTGGCCAAGTAAGGACATTAAAAAAAACAACAAAAAACTACCATCCATTACTGCCATCATTTTATAAAGGAAAGACATTTCAGAAGCAGGAAGGATCTGATCTCAGTCCTTCAAATTGAATACATTTAGCTTCATAAAAACCTCACCGGCCTGAGCCTATTCTCTCATCTTGTGTGAGGCAGGTGCGCTTTGCTGTCAGCCACCCTGAGTGGACTCTATCCCAGGCCCCCCCCATCATGAGCCCCCAGGCTCGAACACAGTGGCCGTGTCGGTGAACCTGTGCGACGAGACTGGGACCACATGTGTCTGGCTCACAGGGGCCCAGTGTCAGCCCAGGACACTGCTAGAGCTCCTGGGGGATGGGAGCTGAATGAGTGAACAGGACCCTCTGGGAGCTCCGAGCAGGCAGGGCCCTGTAGGCACCCGCAGAATGTGTCCTCAGCGCTATGACTGCACTTCAAGGCAGGCACCGCTACCCTCTGTCCACAGGTGAGAACACTCTGGCTCCAAGTGGTCCAAGGATCTGTGGGGCCCAGTGTGTGTCCATGATGGAGCTGGCCAGAATTGGGCCTGAGCCACAGCTGAATCCACACTTGGCTGTAGATCAGCCTGAGCGCATGGGCGGTGGGGTGCCTTTAGGGCTGATGAAGGAGTGTCCATCCCTTGTGCTGGCTCGTAAGCCTGCAGGCCTCCCCAACCCAGCCCTGATGCTCTTGGTGCTTCTGGCTCCTCTGATTGGGTGTGGGCTCACATACAGGGCCAGGGGCCTGAGCAGGGGTCACAGCCTCTCAGGGTACCTCTTGAGTCCCCAGTGATGGTTAGAACTCCACAGGAGCAGAGTGGCAGGGGGTGGGGAGGGATCACTTCCTGTCCAGGCTGAGGGCTCTACTGCACAGGCCTTGGTGGGTGCCACCTCTGGAGTGTTTCTGCCTTGGTGGGGACCCCTCCTGTTGCCTTTCTTTTCCTGTGGGAATCTCTATTGCTATGGAAACAGCAGCAACAGAACTCAGAGTGATGCTTCTGGCATCCCAAAGGGCAAATACCGAAGTGGGTGGGCTCACTGGAGTTCTCCACAGATTGCTGTTCCACACCCCTCCCTCCTTCCTGCATGCACACTCTCAGACCTGGTCAAGTTTGACCCTCACCACCACGACCTCCTGCTGAGCCCCTTCCTACTTCCCCCACCATGTACCGTTCTTGTCCCTCCTGTCTCACTGCCTATCAACTATTGGCAGTTTCCTTCCTAATGTTGCCCACAGGGTTGAGCCCATGTAAGCAGGAGTGGTGGCCACACACTGCCCAGCTGCTGCTGCCCAGCTGAGCAGGGAGGGCCCAAGAACCAGGGGACCAGGGCCTGGGGTATAGTCAGAGACTATGGGCAAGTGTCCCACCCTTGCCTCATTTGCTGCTGGGACTAGGGCCAGGGTTTTATGTAGTAGTAGATGCGCGGACAAGCCCGTGAGGGAGGCTGAGAGAAGCCACCAGACAGGAGGGAGAGGACAAGCTCTGAGACCAAGCAGAAGGGCTTCAAGGAGCAGGTGATGGTGTTGCAGGGCTCAGGAACAGCCAGGAACCCATCACTGGGCTGCCAGGTGCTAGGCGCTCCTAGGCAGAGAAAGATCAGTCTGCAACCTGGGGCAGGTGCAGAGTCCACTGGTAGCAGAGGCTGCACAGAGGCATTGGAGATGGTGGCAACCGGCTTTGAAGGTAGCTCTGCCTGGGTGGTGGACATGACACGTTCCCCCCTCTGTGTGTCCCTCTGTGAGAGGGACCATGGGCTCTGGTCTTGCTCAGGCACAGGGCCTGGGGTGCAGCAGGCTCCTGGGAGGCCACTGTTGAGCTGACCTGGCTGACTTGAGTGGAGAGGTGCTGCAACTGTGGATAGCACCTGTAGGCCCAGCAGAGGTGTGGGGGGCTGGGCCCAGTAGGAGGAGCCAGGGCTCTGCCAGCCGTGTGTAGGAGAGTTGGAGGGCCTGCAGGACGGCTGATGGGGCCAGACACCGATTCGGGGGTCAGGCAGGTGTACCCTGGGTGGGAGCGGAGGAGGTGTGGCTTGGAGTCCTCCCTGCACCTGAGGCAATTCCTCCCCTCTCTGGTGAGTGGGCTCACCCACGTGCCTCATAGGCATGCACCATGCAGAGTCCAATTGCGGAGGCCAGACCCTGACAGGGGTTGGAGCATACTTAGTGCTCCACAAATATCAGCCCATTTTCCGCCTGTCTTCTTAGAGCTCTTCTCTCCCCCAGCCCCACTGAATGCTGTGGTCTGCTCTCCCTCCCTGGAGGCACCCTGTGGGAGACAGGGACCAGAACTGGCCCCTGCCCAGTCGGCATTCCCCCCATCCTTCCCCATTCCCCCATCCTCCCCCCATCCTGGTTGGTCCAGCCCAGGTGATTCTCTGTTCCTAGAGTCAGCTGGACTCTGTTCCCCTCAGGTGCCATCAAGATCTGGAGACGGGGTGTGGTAAGCTAACATGCCCACCCTGTGTGTGGCAGAGGACCTACTCTACCAGAACTTTTGGACTCGGTCCCTGGGCCCACATTTGATGATCTGCCCAAGGGGATGCAGATGCCCCCTGCTGCCCCCCTGCTGTTGGGGGTGTAGGTCGGGGTGGCCCTGAGATGGAGGTGCAGGGGTGGCCCTGAGATGGAGGTGCAGCAGGAGGTGACCGCCGAGAGTCTGCCCAGCCCATCTCCCAGGATGCAGTAATGGGGTGGGGCGGGCCAGGCTGCTGACTTGGTGTGCGTAGCACTTTCCTTCCCTTGGCGTGAGATTTGCATGTCAGAATCAGCCCCAGAGGGATCAAGGAGTCTTGGTCAAGATAATCCAGCGCCGCAGGCCTGTGCGCGGCAGCTCTTTGAGAGGCTTAGTCTTAACAACCCAGCCCCGCCGCAGAAATACCCAGGACAGAGAGAGCACAAACGTGGCAGGGCCATGGTGCTCGTGAGCTTCTCATTCCCATCCTCCCTGAGATTGAACATGCCTGCACACCAAGACCCTCGGGGATTTGCTTGAGAAACACTAGGGAGTGAGAGCCCGCCCTTCAGCTCCTTCCCCATCATTTGCTGTTAGCAGGCGG